AGGGGGAGCCTCGGGGGGCGGGGTGCAGGAGGGTGTTTATCGCGGGAGCACCCGCCTGCCTCCCTCAGTACCGGCGGGCGGTCAGACAGCCTGGCCCACCCATCCATCCATGGAAAACGGCTCAGTGGTAACAAGGGATGAGTGTGGGTGCAGAAACTGGGGTGATCGCAACGGCGGTTCACTGAGCAGAGAGAACTAGGACCCGCTTCTAGACGATCTCGGGAGTAGCGACGGAGAACATATCAGGGTCAGGGCTGGGGAATGTGCGAGAGTCTGGGTGATGGACGTGTTTTGTACCCTGGTGACAGTGGTGACAACTCGATCCATGGTTTAAAATTCACAGAACTCTACGTTGACGGAAAAATAAGTCAACATGGCTTCTTGATAATTTTTGAAATTAATGTTTTTTAAAAAGCAATTCGCCCGGCCAGCGTGGCTCAGGTTGAGCACCGACCTAGCAACCAGGAGATCGCGGTTTGATTCCCGGTCAGGGCACAGGCCCGGGTTGTGGGCTCAATCCCCAGGGGGGGCCGTGTGGGAGGCAGCCTATCAGTGACTCTCATCACTGATGTTTCCATCTCTCTCTCCCTCTCCCCTCCTCTCTCTGAAGTCAAAGACATACTAAAAGAACAAAAAACAGTTCAATGGAGAAAGGACAGTCTTTGAAAAATGGTGTCAAAACATCTCTATGGAAAAATAAACCTCGGGTCCTACTCAAAATCAGCTCACACTACAGCAGAGATATAAGTGTAAATTCAAAGGCTATAAACTTCTGGGAGGAAAGCTGAGTGGCCTTGAGGTAGACAAAGATTTCATCGGTGAGAAATCTGACCCATAAAAGACAAAAAACAGAGGCAGGTCCCCCTGCCTGGGTCTCAGTCTCCCTTCTGTGCACAGGGAGAGTGGGAGGCACCGACGCCGGGTCAGAGAAATAAAAACGAGGAGTGGGGTGGGGGGGTCGTGAGCAGGACACGGAGCCCTTGAGCCCCGGGAACGGATTCCGGTGGGAGGAAGGCCGGGCCGCGCTGGGCACCCTGCCGTGGATACGTCGCCTCAGCACCCAGGGGAGCCGGCTCCAGATCTGGGGCGTCACGTGGGGCCGCAGGGCCTGCTGGTGTGCAGCCGGGCCTGACGCACACGCCCAGGCGACGTCATGCTCAGCTGGACTCGGGGAAAGGAGATTCAAACCCATTTTGATGGTAGTGTCTGGACTCCCTGGTCCCTCTGGACTGGACAGCCATAGCCCAGTGATATGTCCTCAGGGAGGGGTCCATTTTGCACATAGTGGGGTGTGGGAGGCGTTCACAGGTAATCCCCACTCGCCAAGGGACGGGGCCTCTTCTCCCAGGTCATCACATTCTGGGGTCTGAATGAAGCCCCTGAGCTCCCAGCTGCCACTTTGCTGCCTTAGAAAAGCATTTCTATGTGTCTACCTGTGCTTACCGCATAGGGCCAGGCGGGCCTATCTGCTGGTTCAGCTTCTCGGGGCACCCAGAGCAGCCCTAGGGGGCCCCCATGCCTTCCTTGTGGGGTGACCCGGCCCCACAGATGGCTGCCTTCACGGAGGGAACTGGTGGAGTGTGACCCAGAGCGCAGGGAGAGCCAGGGCCCTCTCGAGTGGGGACCCAGCCAGGTGCTGGGAGCTGCCAGGCTGTGCAGCCGGGAGCCTGGTGTGAGTCATGGCCTTGAAGGAGGCTTTGAGAGCTGTGGCCTGGCTGCAGGGCTGGGTTGGCGAGCGGGGAGAGCGTCCCGTGTGCCTCACACCCTGGGGAGGACGCCTGGCTGAAGGGCGGTCCCCTGTGGGCGTTCCTGGCTCAGATCCTGGGCCAGAAGCAGGTGGGATGGAGGTGAGGGTGCAGGTGTGGCGTTCCCAGGGGGGCCAGCCCAGGTGGACGCTTCCATGGCTCCCCCGCCCTTGGGGACCGGGGTGGGTCAGCCCCTGACACGTCAGCTCAGGCCCCCTGCTCAGTCCGGCTCCTGCTCGTGGAGCCCCCGGGCCGATGGCTGGTCTGAATGTGTCTCTTTCCTTCTTCCTAGCTACCATCGCCCTCTGCCAGGCTGCCAGGAGGGCGGCCAAGGCCCTGCTCCCGGCGGGCGCCTACCTCAGCTTCGCCAGGGAGGTGGCGGGCGCGGCCCAGCTGGGGGCCTGCTGCCTGGAGCTGCGGATGCTGGCAGAGCTGGGCCCCTGGGCCGGAGGCTTCGGGCCCGACCTGCTGCTGACTCTGCTGTTCCTGCTGTTCCTGGCACACGGGGCCACCTTCGACGGGGCCTCGGCCAACCCCGCCGTGTCCCTGCAGGAGCTGCTCCTGGCCGAAGTCTCCCTGCCCAGCATGCTGCTGAAGCTGGCGGCTCAGGGGCTGGGAGTCCAGGCTGCCTGCGCCCTGACCCGACTGTACTGGGCCTGGGAGCTCAGCGACCTGCACGTCCTGCAGAACCTCATGGCCCAGCACTGCAGCTCGGCCCTGCGCACGACCGTGCCCCACGGCGCCCTGGTGGAGGGCACCTGCGCCTTCGCCTTCCACCTGACCCTGCTCCGCCTGAGGAACAGCCCTCCCATGTACAGGGTGCCGGCGGTGGCCCTGCTGGTCACCCTCATGGCCTACACAGGTGAGACCTGGGTGTCTCACCTCAGAACCTCCGCCTCGATGGCTGCCACACGGCCCACACCCGTGGGCACCCGGAGAGGGGCTGCCAGCCAAGGGGCCTGTGGGCCACAGACACTGGGGAGGCCATTTCCTGGGAAGCCGGTGAGGGTATGGTGACCAGCTGGGCTGGACACAGTGTGGCGGGGGGACCCCAGGCCGTCAGGCCCTCCTTCCTCACTGGCCTCTCCACGCTCTGAGTTCCTGGTCTTCATCCCGGGAGGTCCCAGCTGGGGCAGGTGGGCAGCAGGCGCAGTTTCTCCAGGGCCTGGCCCAGCTTCCTGCCTGCAAGCCCCTGGGTCCCTGCACCCCTTCCCAGGGTGCCAGGTCCTGCCGTTTCTCCCTCACCCAAGTCCCCTTTCCCCCCCTGGCACTAAGAGCCTCCTGAGGTGGCAGCAGGTGCCCTACCCCCTCTTTGGGGTCACTCCCCCCACCCAGGCAGGCCCCCTGACCAAATTCTCATGGGGACCCTCAGTGCCTGTGGGAGCTGCCCTGAGCCTCCAGCTTTGGCCACACCAGCACCCTACTCTGTATTCAACCCATAGAACGAGGTCACCTGTCCTGGGGTCCCCTACGTGGGCCTGCCCCCAACGTGACAGGGGCACCTTCCCCACCTTCGTGGAGAAGCAGAGGGCCGCTGACCACTGACCTCAGGTTCCAGCTGTCCCCAGGTTGGGGACAGAGCTGGGCCAGGACTCAGGGGCGCCATGCTGGGGCCCCACTGTCCGTCTGTGGAATTTGCTCCCTGGGAGGCATCGTGCTGAGTTGCTCACTCCCTCTGCCCTGGGCACTGGGGACGGGGTCGGGGTCAGAGTAGGATGGCAGGGCCTCCCAGGAAGTGGCCGCATGCCCGCTGTGCTGGCATGGACTTGAACCTGGCACTTGCCTGGCCCCTGGGAAGGGCATCTATGACCGTGGCTGCGATCAGTCAGCTGGAGGCTGGTCGGGATCCAGGTGCAGGGAGGCAGCATGGGGGGGCTGAGGCCAAGCTCCCCGAGGTCTCCATTCAGGGAGACTCCAGGGAGGGCTCACCTTCCGTGTCACTGACCCTGGGGGACCTGGGCCACCAAGTGCCGGAAAGCTGCCACTGGAGCCCAGACACAGGTGGGGAAATTGAGGCACGGCTCAGCAGAGAGTTTGCCAAGGACAGGGCTCTGCAGCCAGAGTGCCTGGACTCCCACCCCAGGGTGACACCCAGGAGCTCCTACCATCTGCACAGGACCCACCGGGGTGCCTCCTGCAGAGCCAGCACCACTGCCCGAGGAGCCAGCTTCGGGCTCTGTGTCCACAAGGCCCAGACCTGCCCTGGGAGGCCCCTGGTCGCTGGGGGTGGTCAGCCTGGCCTGGGGCTCAGCGATGCTGGCCGGGCTCTGACTGCTCATCCCAATCTCCCCTCTGTCTCGGTGCTACTTCACCCCTCTCCAAGATCTCGCTGTCTCTTGTCTCTGTTTCTGTCTGTCTCTATCTGTCTCCCTATGTCTCTATCTCTCTGTCTCTGTCTCTCTCCTTCTCAAAGACACCCTCCCTCAAGCTGGGATGTTTGGAGAAAGGGGCTGGGGGAGATGAGTCCATCCCAGGGTTGAGAGGTCAGGACGGGTGTTGGACATCCCTGGAGAGACTCGTCGGGGCTGCTCGCTGACCACGAAAGCTTTGGCCTTGGCTGAGTGGCCTTCCTGCAGTGCCCCCGTCAGGACAGGAGGAAGGATGGACTGAGCTGCTGGCCTGTGTGCCAAGAGCCCGCCTAGGCCGGGGGCATCGTAGGACTCAGGGTGGGGGTTTCAGAGGGTGGCTCTGGTCCAGGTGGAGCCACACGAGGCCCGTCTGTGCTTCCTCCACAGCTGGGCCCCTCACATCTGCCTTCTTCAACCCCGCCCTGGCCGCCGCGGTCACCTTCCACTGCTCGGGGCACACCTTGCTGGAGTACGCCCAGGTGTACTGGCTGGGCCCTCTGACAGGTAGGGCAGGGGCAAGGCTGGCCCTGGGCGTGGCTCGTGGTTGGGGGACTGGGCCACACAAGCGTCCTGGTGGCGGGCCAGCGGGGTCCAGCTCTCTCATGGCGAGTCCATTCAGGGGCTGCTTCCTGACCGTGAGGTCCTGCGGGGAGGGGAGGAGGCCGGTCAGGTTCCCAGGCGGCTGTCAGGCCCCTCCCGGCCCAGGCCTGCAGGCCCCCTGTCCTGGGTAGGGTCCAGAGTGTGGGTGTCCAGGCGTCCTGGGTTGCAAGGAGCCCAGGCCCCTGGTCTGACGCTGGTCTCCTGCAGGGACAGTGCTGGCCGTCCTCCTGCACTGTGGGCACCTTCCCCGCCTTTTCCAGAGGAACCTGCTGTACAGTCAGAAGAACAAGTATCGGACCCCCAAGGGGAAGCCAGCCCCAGGACCCGAAGACACCCAGACGCCCACCGAGGGGAGCAGAGGCCAGGAGCCTGGGCGCAGGCGGGTGGGGCGGCAGCCGCTGGGCTCCCTGTGAGCTCTGGGCGAGGGCCAGGTCCCTGGCTGGACCCTGGGACCTCCCTGGGCTGAGGGGGCGCCAACCCCACCCCACTTGCTCCCCAGAAACCATTCGTCAATAAACTGTCCCCGGCCCTGCCTGTCTCTTGTCCTGGCAGAGGCCCCTGAAGGAGGTGGGGGCTGGTCCAAGTCCCACGAGCTCTGTCCTGACTCTTCTTTAGTCAGAATCAAAGGTACAACCGAGGAGGAAAGGCAGGGAGGCAACCTGGTCCTGAGGAGACCCCAAGGCAGAGTGTCCCACAGAGGGCTCCTGGCCGCCCTGAACACTCCAGCACCCTCTGTCCGGGGAGGTCTGAGTGGCCGACACCCTGAAACCTGCTGAGATCTTATGGATGGTGGCTGGAGCCCAAGGCTGCAGGGGAGCAGGCCAGACACAGGGCCCCCAAATCCCCATCTGCCAGCTCCCTGACCCTCGGGGCAGCTGACCCACAGGTCCTCAAATCTAGGTGACCCTTGCCAATCCCAGGGCCTTCAGGGCAGACCCCAGGCCC